GGGGGGGGGGGGGGGGGGAGATTAGGAGCATCCAGCTGTCGTATTGCAAGCAGGTTTCCCCTATTGAGGCTACACTGTGCTGGTCAAGGACACTATGACCGGACTGGAAAACTTCTAACCTTGTCACATGGACACGCTCTGCATGCGGCCAGAGCAATTAGTGTGTCCTTTTATTTTATGCAGAAATGTTGGATGTCAGGTTGGATGTTAGGGGGGGCTCAGAACAAATGGGAAATTAATGAAACGGCGACTCGTGGAGGTTTTTCGTCTCACTCTGGGAAACAAAAGCTAACAAGTGCGTTTCCCCAAAATGTTGATATTCCTTTTGTGACATTACACATACACTGGTTGTTTTTTTCTGTTTCTGCTTCATTTACCGAGATTTGAATCATCGTTGCCTCGTACCTCATGTGAATCCACGCTTCAACGATATATTATAATGCCAGTCATTATGATCCCGAACACCTCGGAGCGGCATCTCTCACCTAAACTCCCCGATAACACGCTGCGACACTCGGGGCAGAGCTAATGCAGCTGATTAGATTTAAATGAGTTTATCCTCATGACGCTACAGTAGCTTGTCCTCGCGCTCGGTGATTTCTCCACGACGTGTTGTCAGCACAAAGTCAAACGCAATTTGTGTTTGCTTTGCTTGGAAGCAAATTATTTCCCCGGGCTATTACTACAGGGGCCGGACACATTAACAGGTTGCGCTTGAACTTGGAGTCGAGATCCTGGGTTCTAAAACCATGTGCTATATATATAGATATATCGCGTTTTGGTCAGAATCTCCCTCTGTCAGGTGCTCGGCATCGGTGCGTTCGGAGACAGACTGATGTTCTCAGTGCGCTTTATATTCTAAAGATAATCAGACGGTTGCCAACTTGCCAGACAACCGAGGATGAACACTGAAGAGGTGAAAACGGTGTCAAATGAAATGCGTTTTCCACTTTCATACAGACTTTCACCAAACACATTTCATTTGTATAAACAGATCTTATAAACAGCTCCGAGACTCCGCACCCAAGGATTTACGGCAGCCCGCGTACGGACACAACACTTCTCTTTATCCTCTTAAAACACACCTGCCTGTCAGCGACGCGAGCCTATTTGGCCAAACCGAAAAGGAAAAATAGGGTGACAACTCAACAGAGAAAGATGACACTTTTATATTTCTAGCCAGCAAGCTAACAAAAACAAGCACACCCAGCAACACGGCGCAGGAAGAAGAGGAACATGTTGTATATGTCGGTTGTGCGGTCTTTGTTTGATGGACGAATTTGACATTAAGCAATGGTCTTGAAATTACAATATTCATAACATAGACTAATTTCTATGAAAAAAATATTCAAACTTTCACTGCTTCAAAGTCACCTCTTTTTTAATATCTGAATGAATATTTATACTCTGGTGCTCATGGTTTCTGGGAATGATTTTCTAAATTTCTGAATTCTTAAGCTATTGACAAAAATTTGAATGTCTCTCTTCATTTTACGTGAACTTTTGGGACTGCCCCTAACTTCAGCTCGTCATTTTCCTGTCTACAGTCGAGTCTTTGTCGATGATATTACACAACAAATCTTGTGAAAACTGATGAAAGGTTTCTTTTGGGTTAATTTCTGAGAATACATTTGTCTGTATCCCTACTATACAAGAAGCATAATTAATGCACAAGTAAAGCAGTAGTATTTGAAAAAAAAGTGCGTGGTGGTGCATTAAATCCTACCTGTTTCTTCCTCCTGGGTGGTTATCTCCAGTCTGGGGCCGAAGGTACCGTACCCTGCCTCCGTGAAGGCCCTGATCTGGAACACGTAGGCTGTGCTGGGCTTCAGGTTGTTCACTGTGGCTGATGTGGACTTGGACCTCACCGTGGAGTAGACCCGGTCCTTCTGATCCTGCACAAGAAATAAACCATGTTTAATTCAAAAGTGAGATTGTCACCACGTGGCTGATTTCTAAGAAATACTGTTTCTCTTCACAATTACTTTCCAATTGCTTCTACTTTGCCGTTTCTTTTTATCGCGGTTCAGCGAACATAGAGGAAACTTCCTGCTCACACGTTAAACGTTAAAAGCCTTGCAATGATTTGAAGGGCGAATGGCATCTCTGATTTTTACTGAGATCATCATCTTACCATTATTGGCCGCCTGCCACCTAGACCACATAAACACACATGACGTAATGTTCTTCATCAAAGGAAATCCATTTGGATGCACAGGCGTTGTGCACGTGCCTGTCGACCTGTAAATGGTTTTTGCTCTGCGAGAGCCCAAATGGAATGCCAGGCTCTGTTAGGGGGGGTGTAGTTGTTGTTTCCAATTTCCCACTTTTACAGCTGGGCAGACCACTGGTACGTGACATAGGAGACTGATTCGTCAGTGTTTTTTTGCGAGAGGCTGCGGCCTGCACAGGACTGGCATCGGATGCTCTGCTACACCCTTTGCCTTTGATTGTCGCTGGGCTAAACTCGCTCCATTAAATCTTTGCTGTAAAGAGCTGATGTGTTCAGACTTGAAACGCGGGGACGTTGGCGGTATAATCTACGAGGAAGGGGAAAGGAGATAACGGTGGCAGATTACTAATTGTGGCAGTGCGGCAGCCGCGGCCTGTGTGTGTGCTAACATGTGTATGGGGGGGGGGGGGCGGCCTGATGAGCATCTTCATTCATTATTGCAATTATGAGACAAAGGATGCACTCGCAGGATTCTTGTGAATTCCACTCACAGCGGCATCGCAGATTGAATACAAAATGAAGAGTCGGCGGAAGTGAATGTGAAGTGGCCGAGAGATGGAAGTGTGTGTGTGTGTGTGGGGGGGGGGTGGGAGGACGCAAACTAATCTACTGAGGAAACTCACCTTTTCGTAGTATTTGATTTCATATTCCGTGATGACGCCGTTGGGTTGCTGGGGCTCCTGCCAGGACAGCTGGATGCTGCGCTGCTGCACTTTCTCCTTGATGACCTCGCTGACCTGGGACGGGGCTGTTTGGACAATAACAGTTCAATAAGCAGAGGGCTTAGAAACCCCACTCTACACCCACATGCCTTTCCAGCTGACTAATATTAACGATGGTGCTTTTTACGCCTCGCGATCAAAATTTAAAAAAATGCAGCAAAGGACAGTTGTTACCGCAGCCAGCGGGGGGAAAAGGTGGAAAATGTGGATTGTGAATGATAATTCACTTCAAGTCATTTCAACATTTCAAGCAGACGCTTACTCTCCCTGATGACAGATCTATTGAGAAATCCTCTCAGAGGGAGACGGGTGCACCTGTAACCTTCCGACATCAGTCTTATGCACACCAATTGTCTCTGGCTCATTTGAAATGTCTGGCTGCCTGGATTAACTGCTGCCACATTTACATTTGCTAAACAGTGCACACACACACACACACACACAGTTCCATCTTCTAGCTGTCAAGGTGAATGATGGCAACAACCTGAGCTGGGAATTAAAGGGGACATGTCATGCTCATTTTCAGGTTCACGCTTGTATTTCTGGGTTTCTACGAGAACATATTTACATGATTTGACGTTAAAAAATACAATTTATTTTTCTCATACTGTCTGCCTGAATATCCCTGTATTCACCCTCTTGTCTGAAATGCTCTGTTTTGGAGCCTGTCTCTTTAAGACCCCCTCCCAAAAACGCCAAGTCTGCTCTGATTGGCTTCCGGGAACAAATGTTACGGTAGTTCTGAGCAAACAGTGAAACTGATCCTTTGCTAATATATTGATATCATACCAGCAAGAATACTACAGTTTTAATGTGTGCATCTGTAGAATATGTCAGACAAAAGAATCATTTTTAACTCAATTCTTCCTCTTTTTGTTTCAAAATAAAAGCCCTTTTTCCTCTTCCGGTGGACAGAATCCCTTCAAAATAAAGTGACTTGCACGGCAGTATACATATATTTGGCTTTTGAAATGTGGATTGTTATTTATAAATGAGCACACGCCTCTAAACCGTTTTTTGTCACAATCACAATGAACTGAAACATTCGGGTAATTTATAACAGGAAAACTCTTATGTGGAAGGAAGGGCTGGCGGCAGTCATACTAGAAACAGTGATACTTCTCTTACTTAAGAAGTAAGAGAAGTATCACTGCTAATAGTTCTGCAGCTGTGTCTTTCGGCTTCTGGTTCAACTTCCATTACCTTTACATCGTCACCATCTTGATTATAATCACCATCATTTATACAGCACTTTTCTTAAAGACCCCAGTGAGGAAAAAAAAAAGAGGGAAAGCTTTTTGGCTTACTAAACCTCACCCCAAGGAGATGATGCTTTCAAAAAAATGTAAGCTGCACTTTTAACAGCCTCAAAATCCATTCTGTAAACACACTGTGAAATCGTGATGAGTCATGCTGCTCTCGGGGCAAAAACATATTAATTAACGCGTCTTAGCGAGTTTGAAGAGGCGTCCTGGGGACGACGTGGAAGCCACTCGTCAGAAGCTGTACTTTGATTCCCGTTTTCCCGGGTCTCTCACGGATCAGAGACGTGCGTTTTCGCATGAAATGGGATCTCGTGAAATGACGGATTCACACCATAGGAGATGTGAATTATTGTATATCAAATGATGAAACAGAACAAGCTTAAGTTTCCCCAGTGGCATACCATATGGCTGTGAAGTATGTTTCAAAATATGCAACTTATAGTCTCAACCGTGACTCTGAACAACATCCAACGGGAGACAAAACCTCTTGTGCCATGCCCAGTGACCCGGACCTCTAATGCAGCCTGACCTTAGATTGTTTTAAGATGACCCTGCCACTAATGACTCCGGCTGGATTAAAACCTCATTAGGCCTCATCGACATTCTTGACGGCAACGCGGACGACAGCAGAGACCGTAGACCTTGTCCAACAAAAAAAACAAACTGCTGATGTGACATGCTCCCTCATAATCCACCCAAAACACAGGAACAATGCTTCGTTTCTTAGCGCAGAGCGAACGGTCAAAGGGGACGATTGAGTTTTCCCTCCCCGAGTCACAACAAGCAGTTAGTGCAGCTTAACCTCATCCAATTTGGCTGCTTTCCTCTGCCTCCATCCAGACGGCGTCCTTGATATATGGCCCTTTCCTGAAATCGGGTTTTCGAGGTTTATGGGCACTAAATGATGCTTCTTGTCTGTGTTTACTGCTTTAGTCTGACATTTGCTTTCATCCCCTGCAGACGTCTTTTTTTAATGTTTGCTGCAAAGAGAAACTTCTTCAGTCAGGAGATATATTTACACTGTTAGATACTCTTGGACTTGAGCAGTCGTTGAACAAATGGATACATTTATTTGCGTACTGGCGCAGTATGCTGTGGGAGTGCTTTTAACTTTTATAAGTCTTCATTTGGGACTGAAATCACCGCGACGTTCATTTTAAGTATGACAAAGGAATCAACTTACTGACTGAATGGCGATTCAGGCTAAAGACTACACAACATTCGGGACTATAAAGTGTGTATCTTCTGTTGTAATTTTTTTTCTACGTCTCTTATGAAAATCAATTGGTAAAAAAGAGAAAAATGGAGCATTAATGCCGTTTGCAGGAGCTAAGTACAAAAACAAACATTGATTCACCCCAAAGCTGCTGATGATAGTATCCAAACCCAACTCTGTGCTTTTATCTGTGCCGCTTCCCACCATAGACAAACCATACTGTCGACTTTTTCCTGTGGCCAAGTCGCACACTTGTCTTTTATGTTGTTTGCCACCAGCTTTGGCCTTTAAGGTTATTTAACAACAATGTAAAACTATGAAGTTAAAGGCTCACTCACAAGAGACTTTAAGTCCGTAGTATGAAGTAAGCTTAAAAAAGCACTGGATTCTGGACTTCCCATGATGCAATTTAGACCATGGATGCACAAATAGAACTGGATGCAGCGTTGAACGTGGGCTCCTGTTCATTCCTATGAAAGTTGCTCAGTGGCGTATGAATGGGAAGAATCATTTTTTTTGGGCCCAATGGCATCAAGTGAAGTTATAATTTTACCGTTTGACCACCATGTCAAAGTGGCCTCTTCCTTCCTGGGGGTTCAGGTCTACCGATCAAACTACCGACCCCGGGGCCAGATGTGGCTTTTGAAATATCCTGAGATGTTTTAAATAATCTCACTTTCACGCCTTGTCTTTGGTCAGGCCAGGGTCTCAAACTACATTAATTGTTTTTGTCCCTTAATGACACCTAGTATATATGTGTAAAGCACCATTTGCCGTTGTCGCAACAGCGATATTGTTGTGCTTGCAAAATGACAATAAAGTTCTTGATTGATCAATAAATTAAGACTTGGACTTAGTATTGATCTTTTCTGCCTCCAACTTTGGCCTTTTACTTCCTCAAATCAATGATTGAAATGTCACACATGTGCATATGAGAAATTTGTACCCTTGTGCTAATTAAAAAAAAACAAAAAACATAATTAGCATAGATGCATTGTTTTCAAGCAGCAGCAGGTTTATTGCCGGCGCGCAGCATGATGATCCACTTTCCCCACACAACTTCATCTCCCTCCAGAGTGTGACTCAGGCTCAGGCAGCAGATCTGCCCCCATTTACCCCCCTTTGGCCCGCGGCTGTATAGCGACGATGACTCAGCTCAGCCCCGTCCCAACCTTCACTCCCTTTACCCACCTCCGCCACGGGGCTGACAGAGAGCCGGGGCCCCGCGTGTTTCCACAGAGATCATGAGATCAGTGAGCGGTATTAGCGGACGCGGCGTACCACGCGGGGCTTAAGAGGGCGATCATGAATTTTTTTTTTCAGAAGTTAAGAGCAGATATGAGCGTTAACTTAAAAGTAAAACCTGCTCCTCTGGCTCCTCCCGTCCCCTGTCCCCCCACCTTTACTCACTCAGGTGGTCCATTAATGAATAACTGGATATCAAGGAGACCGGAACCAGTCAGCCACTCTCCGACACTCGACATACCTGTGGGGCTTAGCGCGGCGGAAAATTCTATAATTGTCATGCTGGTCCCAAAGAGACTGTTTGGGGAACGGCATTTGTGCTTTCATTTTGCAATATTATAAAATGTGTCAGTGACCCCTAACACCTCCTCCTGTAAAGCCAACTGATCCCGAAGCTCACTCGCCACCGTGCTCTGCATCTGAGCGTCTTATGAATACATTAGACGGCTCGTCCTTTTAATATCCTACTCTTTCACTCAGCACGTCTTGATTTTTGGACTCCAAGGCGAGGAGCAAGAGCGGGAGGTAGTTCATTACATAAGCGTCTTTCTCCGCCTGCGCGCTAACCTTACGGACTGCACCGACGCTATGAACTCATATTAATTACTGCTGTTGTCGTAACCAGTGTTGCCAACTCCTCAGTAAGGAAAGTAGCTATTGGCTGTCCTAAAAGTCGCTGGAAGTCGCTAAATGACGTCATCACCTAATTTGCATAATTGTAATGAGCGCTGTAGGAAAGAGGCGGGAACAGCGGCGGCTTTGGGAACAGCGGCGGCTTTGCGCATGCGCGATTCATTTGCAGTCTGGACACGGAGAGTGTGGGTCTCCTCTTTCTGCAGCTGGGACTGCTGCGCGAGGGGCTTTCACGTCAGAGACAAAACACCAGAAAAGTCTCCAACAACACCAGAAAAAGTAGCTAGATTTGTCGCTAGTAGCTTTTGACAAAAAAAGTCGCCATGAGGGTTTGGAAATTCGCCAAGTTGGCAACACTGGTCGTGACGCCGTCGTGTATCTTAACGCCAAAGGCACCGTTGTCGTTGAGGTGCGGAAGATTGTTGGCATTTGATAGTGTTTTTAATTAATTTAGGAGATTATAATGTTTCTAGAGAAAATAATTACAATAGAAAAAGAATCCTTTGGGCCCAATATGGGCACATAAGCAAACGTAAAGCACGGCATCCTTTCAATTCAAACAATTGCAATGGGACGTGTTTGGCAAAGGAAACCGACTCTACTGTTCTGTGCAACAGCTAACACTAAGTGCTGCATAAAAACACGTTTGACACATAATAATAATAAA